TCTCAAAGCATTATTTCAACCGTCACGAGCGGCGATGCTCACGGTGGGTGCAAGGATGATGAATTGAGCGTGGAGTGGTGCATGATGATAGTAGGCTTGCGAAGCATCTGTCGCACCCTCCCCTCCATCACTCATATGCACGCAGTCGGAAAATAGAGTCGGGACGGTCGGAGGCGGTCTCGGGGACGGTGTCTGACAAGGCCAAACCGACTGTAGGCACGTGGGCCATATGATCATATTCAGCAGGCATTTATCAGGCCCCGTAGTAGAATTGGAATCGGCTCGAAACCCATCTGCTTTTGATTGGCAGTTATTTTGCCCGTAACCCCACGTACGCACAGAAGTGACCATGTGAGCCGAGGCGTTCAGAGTGAACACGTTGGGGAAACGGAAATATTAGATTTGAACGGCTAAGCAAGAACGAGCTATGAGCGGGATTTATGCCTTATCTCACAGGACGGAAGTCCGTAACATCTTTACCCTCGATTACTTAGAAATTCCCGCGGGAGATGAAAATGGCTTGATTCGGGTTCTGCTGTTTCGCGCTCATCCTGCCAGTAACAAACGCAGATGCTTCCCATCTCGATATTTAGAGTGAAAACTTTGTCGTACGATGCGAGTGCTGATTAGGGGGACTATAATCATGAGCTGAAGAATTTTTGCGCGAATGAAAACAACAGTAATAAAATCATATCCATAAATGTGTAGAATGAGTACGACCCATCCGTGTTCACATCACGTACGATCCTCTTTGACGATTGGAGGAATCTAGAAATTTAACCGAAGCATGGTCAAGTTAGGGATTCATATACGACTTATCCACTGTACATTTTGCTGTACTTATCTGTTGCCACCTCAAAATTCGGTTTTGAATGCGAGTTCCAAACATCGGTTGCGCCAATTTTTTGTTGGGCAGATTTGGTCCCATCATTCATAAGGGGCTTTTTGTTTGAAAATCCTTATATCGCTTGTTACAGGTCCTTATATCAGGGAATGGTGGGAGAATACGGCTGTTTTCCCAATTTCACTGTTCATGCTCTCAAACGCCTCCATTAACCAGTTAGCCTAGCTGCAACCAAAGAGTTCATCGAACAGTCAGTGCGACCTACCAAAGACTGTTGCCTATAATTTCTTTCCATGGCACATTGCTGAGCATGCCGTTTCGTGTGATCTATGACGCAAAAGACTATTCATTGAAACATTCGCATCCACTTGGTTTAATTGTTTTTGAAGAACGCTTGTAAGCGAAATAAGTCCAACAATTTCACCCTCCACTGCATGGCATTTCAAGTGCGAATTACGTCATCTGATGACATTCGACCTTTGAGCATTCAGCCTTGGTTTGTTTGAGCTTGACATTTTAATTACTCCGTGTGTGCTATATCCGCCATGCGTCTGCTAAGCCATGATTCAGCACGCCATGGTCCTCGCGGCCTGGTTCGTTGGCAGTTCTCTAGCACCTGGCTCCCTGCCGAGAAGCATGCTTGCGCTCTCCCTGGATATACAGGTCGTGTTCGTGGTTGGGCAGTAATCTTCGTCCTTCTGAGCTGTTGTGGGGCTGTTGTTGGTTCAAATCCTAGTCGAGTGTTTCCTACGACCAGGATTTGTGCTGGTACGCCTAGGTGCTGGTCCGGCCGTGCCAAGAACCTGCACTCTCTCCCGCCTCCGGCGTTCTTGTCTATGGTCTGACATCAGGTCCAGGCGGGGGAGGAGAGGGCGCAGTGGGTGCTGCGCAAGTCATCGTGTCTGCTCACCTTGCTATGGAGCACACGGTGGGCGTCATCGGTTGCGACGATCGAAATGTTGTTTCTTAAAAGCTGCAATAGGTTTCTCGTTTGCAGTATCTTTTTCTGTTGAGGAGCGTAAAATATTCCAGAACGGTCCTCAAAAGGACGCAATTCCCGGGAAACGCCTAGAAACTACAGTTTTTGTCCATCGAAATCCCCATTCTGTAGCATTTCTGAACACTTTCGTAATTACGCGCGAAAGGAAAGGGCATGTCGACTGAGAATTCTGTGCGGGATTTTCGGTCAATCATCACTTCAGTCGTATATGAATAGACATTTTGATCGATCTAAAAGCATAAATTGCGTGGCAAACATTCATATGCATACCAACTCAATCGCCAATTGATACTGACTATTGAGATAGAGAGGAAAAGCGGTTGGGCTTGCTAATATGTGCATACTTCGGACTCATACGCAACGCAGACAACATTAAAATTACTCCAATGGATTGCTGCCCATTATTAGTAGTTGGGGTTGTAATATTGATTATCATGCGAAACAACCCCAGGATATTTCAATCAAACCAAGATGTCAGATTTTGATTGAGTTATCTTTGGCCGCGTACAAAAAATGCTTTCGATAAAAAGATCACCTCACCTTGGTTTCCGATCCTCTTATAAATTCAAATGCACTTTACAGAAAATTTGCATAAAATTGTCCTATCACTCACTCATACTTACGCTAGTAAAATGAGCATTCAGCTCGGTTTTTTGGTATGCAGCTGTTAGGAGGTCACCTCGTTTTAAAATTTCACACCCGGCGCCAAAGCATGTTTTGATTTTAAAAAAAGATTTCAATGTATGAATAATTCTGAACCCATCTCTAGCTACACTCGCACTTTAGATTTCAACTGTCCATGTCGTATACTTCTCGTGTAAGTAAAATCATACGTTGTTTTAATCAGTCTATAAGGCGTCATACAGGACTCATGTCAGATTACCGTGAACGTACACATGCTGTATGCATGATAAGTAACATTAAAAAACTGGCAGATACGATTGTGTATAGATAACCCTTTCAGGGTTTTATTGGAGATCTCATAACTCGAAACTATTTGATGCCGCGAAATACAGACCTAACATTGCAACCGGTGAAGGAAATTACTTTTTGTACATGATTTATATAAGCACTCATACACGTATAAGCCCACCCGAAATCGATAGAAAGAAGTTCCTGCCACACAAATATTAACCTTTTAACGAGGGTGGTATCTGTAGGCGACCGTAAAGATATTGAGTCAAATGCAACATCTTGGTGCGACTAAAGTTTCTTGATATTATGTTGTGCGAGAGTGAATACTAAAACACTGTCAATGTAGTTCTTCCTAACCTCAAAAATTTGAAATTCCTGCTAACATTTCATGTATCAAACCAAATGTTATAGATGAAAACCGACTCCTCTGATTTAACGTTGGCTCTAAATATTGGGAAGTGATAGCTACGATGCAATATGCTCCTGATATCCGGTTATCCTTAATACCATTGATTTGCCCATAACACAGCAATTTTCAGTAAAGTATCGCCTAAGCGCATCATTATGCATTTGTCCACAGCACGATAATTACCAGAAGGCGAAGGAAAAGGTATATTCGCTGTTCGAAAAGAGGGACTTAAACACTACGGATGTTCATATATTAATACTCCTACTTTATTTATGCCAAATTGTTTGCCAAACTGACTGGTTTTTCCGTCAATTGAGCCAAATATCTATTGCGAGCGCACTGTTCACCTAGTCCTAATCGATTGTTTCTAATGATCTTAAACGTCTCATATCACCCAGACCCACCTGGCGTGGGACCTATATTGTTCACAAACAGGGTTTCGTTCAGATGATATTCTTGGTCGTATGCGCATGCTATTCACTGGCAGTGATGTTTGCATGAATTTACAGAGACTCCTATGTTACGAGCCATCTTACTCTGTCGCCTCCTTTGTATAAATGGACTTCAAGTCGATAAGCGTCCGGCGTCCTCTTATGTCTTTTGTAGTGAAACACCGATTTTAGATCGCCCCTCATTGTCGACTTTTTGTACAGGGTTGAGTTTCACGGCAGCTAACAAGTGGTTCTGCCTGAAGTGTGATATGCACGACAGTTCGACAACTGTTTTCGACAACGTGTGTAGTCTACTGATGAGCAGGCGATTTGTGCCAATGCCGTCTTTAGGGGAAGCGCTTCTCAGTACAGTATCCTGCCGTAACAAGACCACAATTATCCTTAAATAACCAATAGGCTTCAACTAGACTCCGCAAAACCCCATTTATGCAATCCACTAAGATAAATCGGAACCAGACGAGTAATTTAGATCAAAGATCAAGCAGATGCCATCAAATCTTTTAACTGACAGTGCTCCGTTTATTGACGCTGGCACATGCGTGAGGTAAATGGAAGTCCTGTTTTCACCAAAGCAAATCAGCCACTTTCACTAAATTTCTCATAATTTAACTTGCTCTGTAGGAGGGCAATCATTCAGGCTGCATTTCCGTAAGATAATAGGTCCTGTGTGTCTTTAATTGCCAAAGGTAGAACTATTTAAGCAATTAATATGTTCTGACGCTCCAAAATCATAATGAAATAGTTACATTTGATTCTTTAAATAGAGCTAAATCCTGGAAGCATATGCAGAAGTAGATAACATTAATTGTTGTTTGACGGAAAACACTATTATTTAGCGGCTGTAGGTTGCTGTTTCTGTACGTCTAGAAATCTTGTAAGGATATGTTTTTTCCGACCCCATTATTGGCAATTAACTTGCCCGACTCTCCATACGGAGATGGCCAAGTCTCCCAGCCAGTTTATTGCCTCAAAAGCCACGACTTCCAGTGTGTTGTCATGAATTTAAGCGCGTCACATTTTTTATAATGAGAAGTGTGGTGAAATTTCGTTGAGATGTAGCCACAGAGACGATTTCACGCTTATCCCCTCTCCCTTCCACCTGTGTACAGTTTAACTCCGTCAGTCACCCAGTGCAGCGACTGGGCGCAGTGGCTGACTAGGTGTGCCACCAGATCCCCATTACGGCAGCAGTTATGGGCTCAGGCAGGCTTTGTATGGCCAGATGGACACGCTGTGACCCCGTTTGGCCACCATTTGACCCGTCATATCACCACAATTGCCCGTTACGAGTACACACTAAGATACCCAGTAGTAGCAGCCAAATATAGTTTTAGATATTTAAACGGCTACTTATACAGTTTAAGTAGGCTGTATTAGTCGTTAATTCATGGTGTCTGGCGTAGACGCTGAAATAAGTTCTAGTTCTGTAGTGTTGGTTATGACGATGATGATGGTGCTGGTGGTGGTACTGGTGGTGGTGATGGTGGTGGTGGCGGCGGCGGCGACGACGGTGGTGCTGGATGCTATAATTATGGACGAGAATGATAGCCGGGTTCAGTCAGTAGACCCGCCTTACACAAATGACTGTCCACCACTATTGTGTAAAACCCATTTCGTCACAGTGAATTTGCGTGGACACATCTAGTAGGGGAGCTTTTTGGATTTCTCTACTAATCCATCGGCTGCTTTGAAAAGAGACAAATTACTCAGGATGCGAGTAGGCTGCGCGGTCAGTGCACTACGCATCAGTCATATGATTCACTAGCAGGATACACGGAGTATGGGGACACCGACGCCTATGTGCATCACATAACATAGGAAGATCGTCAAGTAAATAATGGGGAAGAACTAATACAGCAAACCAGTCTCCGGAGAGTTAAAACGCATGACATCCATGGCAACACAACTGCACAAAGCAATGCACAAATGAGGCAAATCAGGTTCGAGTCCAACACACAAGACAGATTCAGAAACCGATCAGTTTCGAAGATCTAAAGAGAAACTGCACCAACCACTTGCAGGGAAAAAATTTCCGCATTCAAAGCCGGACGTTTGGGGAGTTGACCTTCAAAAGGCAACGGCTACTGCCTAGTGTGAACATAGTTCTGTTAATTTTGGTTAGACGGGTGTGAAGTGCAAAAAGGGTGGGACTAAAGACTTCGATGAAATGGCACAGCGAGGTAAATATTATTTGGGCGCACAGATGAACGAAAACGTCTTTTGCATAGCTCCCTGCGCGACAGAGAATGGGTCGTACTGTAAGAGACAAACCTACTAGTTGGGCACAGCGAGTAGGCTATCCAGGAAACGAAAATAGCAGTATCCCCACAGTTACAAACTAGTAAATAAGAACAAAGTCGTCAGCAGGTAAACGTGCACGTGCGTGTTCTTTGTCTTATTCAAAGTTGTGTCAAAGCGTATTGTAACTGATTAAAACAAAACAGATTTAAATGTCACTACAATATTCCCCCTCCTAGGAGAACGGAGTTCAAAAAAATTATTGTTAATAGAAGGAAAATGTGGGAGTGTTATGCATATTGTACAAGTTGGTAACGGTCGGGAAAACGGACATGACGACCGCTGCGCGTAAGGGGAGGAGTCTGTGGGATAAGAGAAGACGCGGGGTTATTGGGCGTAAATGGAGTCTGGGAAATAGCAAGTGGCAATGTGCCAAGTGGAGGTTGTTCGGTTGGAGAAGTTGGAAGAGGCTCGGTATAAGCCGCCTTCAAGCGATCGATTGAGACCACGTCGGTGCGGCCTCCACGGTCAATTGTAAAGTGCTTGTCCTTGCGCGATAGTACTCGAAAGGGGCCGTCATAGGGCTGTTGTAGTGGCCGGCGAACGCTATCTACGCGGACAAATACAAAAGAACATTTTAGTAAGTTCGGGTCGACGTACGACTTACTTGTTGAAGGACGTGGAGGAGTGGCTCGAAGATGAGTCATGGCTTGGCGCAATCTTTGCACATAACCGCTGGGATCCAAGTCGGTTGAGCTTTGAGAGTACCCGAAAAATCACCTGGAATCCGTAGGGTAGTACCGTAGACAAGTTCGGCAGCGGAACACTCCAAGACGGGCTTGAGTGCGGCACGGATACCTAGCATGACCAAAGGCAGATGCTCGCTCCAACGGGAAGGGTTGTCATGAGCTCGGAGCGAGGCTTTGAGTTGCCGGTGGAAACGCTCGACTAAACCGTTGGATGAGGGGTGGTATGCTGTTGTGCGTATGCGAGAACATCCGAGGAGGTTTGTAAGGCTCTTAAAAAGTCTAGACTCGAATTGTTGACCTCGATCGGTGGTAATTGTTGAGGGGACGCCATAATGAGAGATCCAGTGTTCCAAAAAACCATGAGCAGCGGAATCAGCAGTTATGTTAGGTATGGGAGTTGCAATGGGCCAACGAGTAAATCGGTCAATCGCAGTAAGTAAGTAGTTGCAACCACGAGCTGTTGGAAAGGGACCTACCAGATCGATATGAACATGTGAAAAACGTGCGTCGGGTGCGAGAAAAGTGCCAATGGGGGCTTTGTTGTGCCGTCCGACTTTGGCCTTCTGACAGGCCAAACATGAACGGGTCCACTGGCGGATATCAGTGTTCATGCTTGACCATACGAACCGCTCGTTGACTAGGCGCTGGGTAGTGCGGATGCCAGGGTGAGCTAGATTGTGCAACGCGGCAAAAGCATCTCGTCTCATCTCGTTTGGCACTACGAGTAGGCTATCCAGGAAACGAAAATAGCAATATCCCCACAGTTACAAACTAGTAAATAAGAACAAAGTCGTCAGCAGGTAAACGTGCACGTGCGTGTTACTTGTCTTATTCAAAGTTGTGTCAAAGCGTATTGCAACTGATTAAAACAAAACAGATTTAAATGTCACTGCAGTACAATGGTCCCCTGCGTTACATTTGTGTATCGGGGTACTTTTTTGCTGAGTTCTGCTCGTCGGTACTTAAAGGTTTAGCATTTTGTATGTACAAAGCGCACTGCGCTGTTGCTGCTCTTTTTGCCCATGACGACTTATTTCTGTCGGGTCATGTAAGGAAGGAGAGAAGTAACTGCAATTGGCTTTTGAAACATACCTGTGCTACCAAGTGTACGGATGGCAGATGCAGGACAACGGTTACCCTGTAATCTGTAGAACAGGTCTCATTTCGTCAAAGGCGTTCAAAGAGCCTCACAGTGATAATGGCAAAAAAGAAGGCGGTTGACGATCATTTTGATCAGTCTGCGGCCAGTGTTCTTTGCGTAACATTAAGTTGGACCCCTTGAAGCGGGTCAAGCCTACGTCCATAGCTGGTGCGTGCAGGTGACTGTTTCTTCCATTTTTCAAAATAGACTCCGTCGGAAGTCCCGGATCTCAGATAAATACAACTTCGTGCCTACTGTGGAGTTCAGGCTTGTATGCTGACTCTGACAATGGAAGTGGGAGTTGACTAATTTTTGCTCTTATTGCCGCGGTGAGGAACCCCTTTTTAGTTAAAAAATGGCTTAACAACACGCCTGGCCCATTCGCTCGTCATTCGGCGCCAGACAAAGACTTTTAAAAAGGTTTTAGACATGTGCGATTAGACAGTTTTTTGCAGAAAAAAGTACGTTTAGCTGCACAACAAAACGGAAGTCTATAAAAACAAAAACTTCATGGGCGTCAACCAAGCGGGACACCAACAACGAAAATGAAGATAAAATAAAATCATGGATGATTTGCCCAAAATAATATAAATCCAATAAAAATGGCCATTTCAATGTATTTAGCAGTATTCAGTGAAGTTGGTCCCCAAGGCTTGCACGCTGTTTCAATGTACACTTTTAGTAGTAGGCTAACTCATGAAAGGTCAACCGAAATGCCGAAATGTGCTATTGTTTCGAAAAGATTAATTAAGTAGGGTTGTAAAGCTAGTCAGCCTGCAACATAGTTCTATAATATTTCAGCTACCACAGGATGCCGGCTTTCGAATGAAATTTCTTCCGGCTGCATTGAAAACCACACTCCGTAAAAAATGATTACTTATGTAGCATAAGATTTTCTCATTGATTTTCGATGTCCCTAAAAGACCAGTTGTATTTCATGGAAAACATGCATAAAAAATTCATTCTTTCGATTGTTTAGTAGATCATTACATCTTCTTCCAGTCCTTTACTCGAAGGAAGGATAGAATTCGGTTTTCAGAGACGTTTCCAATTCCTGAATAATTTTGAACCCGCTCTACTGTCACACTTGGATTCGGGGTTTCCAAACTACAAGCCGTATCTTTTCTGCGTGCGGAAAATCGCGCATTTCTCTACGGTAATAAAGGGAGATCATATAAGGTTTATAAAATTTAGCAGTTGATTTGAGCCATACTGGTAACTGTACAAGCCACATTTGTAAATGCAGAGACATGACGATTTATGAACGACCAGTTCATGTTATTTAAAAGTCCCACAATAATAAACTTCTTAATACCGAATTATGTTTCTTCTTCGTGTATAAAATTAGAAGGAGACGTAATTATCTACTGAATGAGGAAAGGGATGAATATTTTTATGCATGTTTTCCAGGATATACAATTGAACCTTTAAGGTCATCGAAAATCAATAAGAAAAATTCATGCTACATAAGAAGTCATTTTTGGCAGAGTATACTTTTGCATACAGACAGGAGGAAGTTCATTCAAAAGAAGGAATCCTGAAGTAACTAAAATATCCTAAAATTATGTTGCGGGCCGATAAGTTTTGCAACCCTACTAAATTAATCTTTTCAAAAGGAAAACGCATTTCGGAATTTCGGTTGACAGTTCATGAGTTAGCCCACCTACTGTAGGTGCGTCGTTCATTCAGATTTCCGATGTTCGTTATTTCAGCAATAGGCCACTTCCGGTTTTGAGTATTGGCTTGTTACATGAAAAGGCGAGGAAAATGTTCAAAACTACTTGCTTTAAATAAACTTGGAAATTTGCAATAATTATCGCCTCTGCATGGTACTTCTGTGCTGATTTAGGCCACAATTCGTGCGCCGCTTATTAAGCCCCTTCTGCCGTAATAGTTTACGTCAGTGCCACCTAAGCCTGATCGTTTACACCATCAAATGTGCTTCGTCAGAATGAACATCCACCTACTAATTATAACTTCTGAAAATAAACCTGCCCTTCAAGCACAAAATATTACCAACGAGGGAAGTGGATAGACGTAGATCCAATTGCTCTTTCCTATACCAGCACCAACTTACACTGCCTCAACTACCGGTGATGATCCACATTACATCTGGTGGATTCTAGATGTATTACTTGGGAAATCCTGCTTGACCCGTCAGCTTAATGTATCAGATTTAAGAAGTCAAGTCCGACAAAAGTACACTTTCGATTATTCATCACCAGGCCTGCACATTTATATAAGGGAGGGTAGAATAGCAAAAGTTAAACATCCAATAAAAGACAATGTGGGGAAGGGGATTGAAGGGCGTTCAGAGCTCAGTGGTCAGATTTTAGCTCTGTCTGGGGTTTAGGGAGGGAGGGGGGAGGGAAAGGTGTCTGGCGATCAACTGTCCGTGTTTCGTCGCTGTACCGCGACGTGGCGGGCGTGAACACGTATGCTGGGTTTGGCTTTGTCCAGGAGAGCCTCAACGCCTGTACAAACGCTTTGTGCGAGCACAGGGCTGGCTTGGCTAACCGTATGGCCACTGCTTCTGCCGTCCCAAGTTTTCGCTGACGCAGGAATTTTGAGTGTCTCGCCGGCACTTTATAGATGACTCGGAATGCTTGGCTGACGCCTACTCAGTGGCTGCTCTCAAATAAGTGAGCCACAATTGCGCTAGAGATGGGCTTTTCCCCACCTTGATTTAGCCAGAGAGGATAGTGATCTTGCATCCACTTAGATATACGCCTAGTTGTTCGACCAATATAACCTGCCCCACGGGACCAAGTGAAGACGTAGATGCACATTGAAGAGGTCTGAAAAGGCAGTCTATCCTTACCTTCAAGACGAAGAAACGGAGTGCTTGTGGATACCAATCTTATCCTTGCGGCTGGGTAACTCCGCGCGATAGCAGAGTTTGAGTGAGGATGTAGGAGTTCGCTCGCCGGATTTCCTCGAAATGGCAGTATGAGAAATAATTCCTTCTTCTCAGCCGTCAGCACATCAGATTTTGGAGGTCGTTCTTCCATATATTTGTTGATAAACTTTTTATGGTAGCCGCTTTCTTTCAGAGTGTTCAGTATAATGGCGAGTTTCTTCTCAAGCCTATCTGGAATGCATATTTTCTAGCTCGGTTGGTGATGCAGCGGAACAAGCTTCGTTTCTCGCCTAGCGGGACAAAACTGTAGAGATTTGTGTTTTGCCTGTCCATGCTTTCCTGATAAATACGCTTCTACTAATTTTTTCCATCCGGCATGCGATTAAGTAGGACATCCAGGAAGGGGAGACACTCTCCGTTCTCTTTTTCCAAGATGAAGGTTAGCGTTGGATGAGTCTGATTCACTTTACAAAGGAGGGTGTTCAAATCAAGATTTTCATCCGCTATTGCGAAAATGTCATCAACATATAGAGCGTAGGGATAAAGGTAATTTATAATTGGGCAGAGCTGGGTTTTCTCTAGTTTTCCCATGAAGACAACAGCTAATAGCAGTCCGAGGGATGATCCCATCGTAACGCCATCGATTTAGAGGTAAAATTGACTATCTGATCTGAATTAAAAATCAGCGTGTAGCCAAAGATCAAGTCCTTCAGGTCTCCGACCGGCATTCCGACTGTATCAGGTTTTTTTGATCCCGGCGTTGCAGTTGGCTGGGCGGGTAAACTTGACTCAAATGTAATTAAACTCGTGCCAACCGGTGGGGCCTCTTAGCTCAGGTGGCTAGGGCGTCGGCTGTACTTAAACTTTCCCCTTGCTGTCGTGGGTTCGAATCCTACCGTGTCGCCGTGTTCTTGACAGTTGGGTTAAAATGAATTATTTGTAATCTGCCATAACACCTGTGAATCAATCAATTTAGTTTGTGTCGGAGCCAGACGCCTAAACCTCTTGGCGGTGACTCTGTGGTGTGCTAATGCAGCTCCTAACTAATTAATCCCATCAGACCTCTATCATTTACACCAAATGTTGGCAGATTACGCAAAAATCCATAATGCTAC